AGTCTCAGGCGCCGCGGCCACGGGCGCGGCCGCTGCCGAGCAGGCGCCGCCGGCGCAGCGTTGGCACCGACCGTAAACGTGGCCAAGGCAGCGACCGAGCTGGCATCGTCGACCGTGACAAAGATGGGCTCGCCGACCTACATCATCACCATCATCATCAACCGGCATGTTCTCGTCCGCAATCGCATGTACCTTGATGTCGGCCGTGCCCTCGGGCTTGAGAATCTTGGCGAGGTACGAGTCGTCCTGGGCCTCAAAGTCGACGACGGCCTTGTCGGTCTCGACCTGGCAAATGACGTCGCCGGCGCTGATCTTGTCGCCTTCCTTCTTCAACCACGCCGAGATCGTGCCCATCTCCATGGTCGGGGACAAGGCCGGGAGGCCGACGACCTCATGGTCGGGCAGGGAAGAGAAGGCGCGGGCGGCGACGGTGGAGCGGGCGCCGAGCACGCGGCCGCTGCGCTGGAGGATCTGTACCACACGCATCGTAGTCTCGGATAAGGAAAGTGATTGACTGGATTTGCTGACTGTAAACCTCACCTTGGCTCTTGCGCCCCGTATCCGGACAACCGCCCCCTACCGATTGCTCAATCCGGATACGCTCCATACAAACAGCAAGTGCGTCTTTTAATGAAACTCAATTGCGGCTTCAAGAATTGAGAGTGCACGCAACGAAGCGCCGCGTCTATAGCCACTTGCATAGAGACCTCGATTCATACGCTGAACATGGGGCGCTCAATTGAGCTTCAGGGCGCGGCCCCGATTGGTGGAAACGGAGATTGCATCATGGTCCGACGGGCCATTACACGTCGCTTTAGAAATCCACTGGCGCCGGCGTGGAGGGGGACAGGCAGGTCGCTTATGGCGTCGCCGCCGCCATGGCCACAAGCAGCAACGTGCATGTCCAAGTCCCGGCAGCGTGTTTCTTACGAGGTGCAGGAAGAATGCAGATTTATGGGCAGGTGCTAAAGGCGAGACGCCCATCGCTCGACTCGAACCGGGGCGAAGACGAGGTCAATTGCGCGGGCCACTCGACATAGACAAGTTGTTGGTGGTGGTAGTGTTGCTAGTAAGCTAAAAAAGGCCCTTGACGCACGCCTCCGTTCGCCGGTGCAGGCTCATGCGCTCGCTCTGGAGCTTGGTGATCTTCTCCTTTAGTTCCTGCACACGCGCGTGAGAAACGAGCGCTCTATGGAATGAGGATTGACGTAGTAGTACCTGGACGACGTCGGCGCCAATGTCCTTGGCGGGCGACGTGGTGAGGTCGAGCATGTCGGATTCGCCCATCTACAGGCCTGCGGTGGGCGCGCCGTGGCTGGCTATACACACGCGTACCTTGGTACAGAGGCGGTTGATCATCTCGATGGCCTTGTCCTTATCGGCTAAGGATGGGATGCATGAGCATGGCGACCGCCTTCGTGTGCCGTACCATAGACATCGGCCGCGCTGCACTTGTCCGAGTCGCTACGCCGTGAGAATGAGCAAGAAGTCCATCGTACAGCACCCTACATCTTCTCGAAGATGCCATCGACGACCTTCTTGAGCTTGTGGATGTCCTCCTGGAGCTGCGCGATCTGGTCCATGGCCGTCGGTTCCCAATTGTCCGGATACTGTGCCACCAGCTGTATCCGGAGAGCCTTTTCTAGAAATAGTGTGACGTCAGGGCAAGATGCGCAATAGTGTGCGACATCTAGCTTACACCCACATCCACAATTCGAACACTATCTTCAACGCACACTATTACTTTGAACCTTGACCCGAGGCCTTCTCCCCTTTATTTAGTAGGACACAACATGCCGATAGCCCCAACACGTCGTCAAACCAACGCATCGCAAGCATGTGGCAGGTTCGGTGCACGACTTGGCCACCTCGATACTACCGGTACACCCAACTACCGGTACACAAGCCGACGGCAGCTGGGTTTCGAATGCAACACTATTTAAACGTCACGAAACGGTTCTCGCGGCCCGGGGCGCGGGGGAAAAGAAAGATACGGGTGTCGTCGCATACAAACTTCAAGTACGTGTGGAGGCCCGGGGATGTTTCTGAGATTGCATTTATCAATAAGCTTCGCCGCCGACAAAGACGCATGGAGACGCAGACGCCCATGACGATGCCCAGCGACATTGACATTGACTCGGCGCCGATCGGCAAGCATCATGCGCCGACGGTTGCGCCGATCCGGACGCGGTCGCTCTCGATCAACTCGTACGACACGGTCGACACGCCCAAGGCCATCTCGGACGAGCAGCAGGACGCGTTCCGCAAGAAGCACGACGTGCACGACGAGGCGCCCAAGGCGCACGCACCGGCCCATATCGTGTCGGCCGTGAGCCCGCACAAGCTTGGCCAAAAGGCCATTGTGATGCCCAAGGCCATGCACATCTAATACCCCGTCGTTCTCTCCATGTACTCTACTCCTTTCCATCAACAGCAACGTAGTACTATTGCTAAACACATGGGTCTTGTTTCTTATGGCGACACGACGAGCAGCGGACACGTGGCAACCGATGGCGTCGACACGCACAGCGCCAAAGTGCCGACGACGGTCGCGTCATCGACGCGACTGGCAAGGATCGGGCACGGCATCATCGTGCTCCGATCGGTCGGTGGCGTCTCGACCGCATGGACAAGCAGCTTCACGGGCACCTCGTGGCCAGCGACAGGGTCAATGCCCAGCGCGGCATTGGGGGCTGCATTGAGTAGTGTGAGGCCTGTGAGGACCATGGACTCGCAGCGCCGCCGACTTGTGGGGATCGCGGCCGTGGCCGCATAGACGTCGACGACGACGCTGATTTGAGCCACGTCGCGGTTGCACTGCACGCCGTACGTGAGGAGAAACGATGCAAGTAGCTCCTAGAAGCATGCAACCATGAGCGACGTGATCTCAAGACGACCTCTGTACATCGAGCGACGGCACACTTGGGCAGGACCACTCGGTATCGTCTTCGTCCCACCACGTCTGCAGAAACGCTTTGTGGCGCTCGATGGCATCCAAGTAGCCTGAGAGCGACAAGGTGCCAACGCGCAGGCCACGTAGTGCCAGCCGGCGTGGCACCTTGTCTTGCAGCAGCAGTGTCATGTCCGACTGGACGGATGGCGGCAGCTCGCGATAGCGCACACCATGTGGTAGCGAGAGCGCTGCCAGCGCCGTCGTCAACGTCGCGATGTCGCTTTCGTAGAGACGCACAACCGCTTTGCAGAGACTTCGCATCGGCGTCGGCTTGTTGCTGGCATTCCGCGGGTGCAGTTTGAGCACCAGTGGACTCGGAACGCGCGCGTGCAGGCACTGTAAAATGGCAGTAAACTCGGCCACGACGTCGTCCTGCATGCGCCGCTCGGTCGATAGCAGCATTTCGTGCACGCTTGGCGTCGAGGGGGCGCGCGAGATACGGACATCAGGCCACTCGAACGACGCCGTCGCCGCCAAGTCGCAGAGGAGACGGACATAATCTTCTGCCGAAGAGAGCGCTTGTCGATCGTGAAAGATGGCGTAGAAGCTATGCAATGGGAGCTGAAAGCGGGATTGCAACCGTGACGCGTCCAATGACACGAGGTTGGGACCCAAAACCTCGGCCAAGAGCCCATTTAACAGGCCCCACCCGCGGTTCGTCGTGCCTTTGCGGGAATACACGCACTGTAGAAGACGGCGACGCAAGCGAGGCCAGTCGAGACCGCTAAAAGGGTCGGCTGCGTCGTCTCGTCGCTGTGCATACTGCCGCGTGAGCGCCGTGAGCACGGGCCCGATAAGCTCGAGCACGCAGAGCGTCACATCGCTCATCTCCGGCGCCGCCACGTCGACCGCCGCGCCAACGACCGTCTCATGGCGCACCTACATCGTTTTGATGCGCCGACGATCGCATAACCAGCGACGTACCAGGAGCGTTGCGTGGAAGAAGCAGAGGCTGCAGAGGACACGCCAGATCACAATGCCAAGCGTGTTTCGTGCGCTCTCGGTGAGCGGCGCCCCGAGAAGCGCTTCGGCGACCCGCGTCGAGAACGGGATGGAGGCCAGCTGCAATACGGTATCGCGGAGCGCTCGGGCAAAGGGTGTCACAGGCGGTGGCGCCATGTACCACATGTAGGGTGCAATCGTTGGCGGCACGGTCGTATTCGGGTGCCAAACGTGCAGCGTGGCGGCGTCGGCCACCGCCGATGGTGGCGCGCCGTCGTCGTGGGCAAGCGCCCCGGCCAGTCGCGTGTCATGCCGGTAGTGCTGCACATACGCGTGGAGCCTCTCGGGGTCGGCGATGTAGAGACCTCGCCACGCGTACTGCGTCAGCATGAGCGGCGCATTGTCGTCAAGATAGAGCAGTTGCTGGATGGACTCGACGCAGAGCAGCTTTTGGTTCCAGCTCAAGTCGAACGCGGGTAGGGTAAAGGGTGCCTCGGGCGCAGCGAGCAGCGGCCGCTGGAGAAGCGAGTGCAGTACCTTGTGCTGGGCTTGCATGGGCGTTGTGACGTCCAGCATGAGCGCAAGGTAGGCGCGCGAGGTGGGGAGCGCAGTCGTCACGATACTGCGATAGTAGAGCGCCAAGTCCCGCGACGACCCTTTTTGGTACCACACGGTAGGCGAGAGCCGCGTCTCGAGCTTCCCGAGCCCGAGTGTTGTCGCGACAAACTCGGTCGTAAAGCTCGCAAGGCGGGGTGACGGCCAGAGCAGCTGCAAGAGGAGAGCGATGTGGATGCTGGATGGATTGGCACTTTGCAAAAACGCACTCAGCACGTCAATGGTGTCGTGGTCCTCTGGCCGTGGTCGGCGCCGCTTGGCCATTGGCATTTGCACTTGCAGCGCGGTCAAAAGATCTTCGACCGTACTCGCTTGAAGAACCTCGAGTATGTGCGGGCTCGTTGCATTTGCCAGGCCACGGGGTAAGAAGACATCGAGTTGCAGCTGCGTAAAGCTGCGCAGTCCGCTTGTGGTCGTCGTCGGCGATATGGACGGTGCCGATAGAGCTCCGGACGCTGGCCGGGGCGGGACGTTTTCGTCGTGCCAGCGTAGCGCCAGCCGCCACAGAAATGCTGGCCATTCAGAGGCGTGGATCGACAGCGCGAGGTGGTCCAGCGCGAGCGCAAGCCACTCTTCCGGGGACCGCCACTTTTCGGGTGTCTACGCACATATGGTGAGTCGGCCACCGATTGACATAGTGCAAAGCAATATACCAGAAGCTGGAGGTAGAGCTTGCGATAGCCGTTGAGCGGAAGAGGCAATGGCGTTGGCAGCGCAGCAAAGACGTGCGCACCCACGCGCGCCAAGCGCTGGCTTGCAGCCGACTTGTACACGTTCAGGGCGGACGCCAGCGCCGCTTCGTCGTCCGCCATCGCGGACCGAATGCGCACATTGTGGGCGCAGAGATCCTTGAGCTTGTCCATGTCGGCCGCCGTAAACTTGAGTGTTGCCAACTACACGTGATGGGTTGAATCCTTTGAAACATGACAATAGTGTACAATGTCTCGAAGATGGTGCATGACGCTGTCTTGTCCGTCGCGGAGTTCGAGCGTCGCGGATTGAAGGCTGCGGGTCGCACTACAGGCACTCTTGCGGCTGGCGTTGGCGACATTCTCGCGGCACATGTCGTCCAGCAGCATCACCTACCCCCTTTGGTTGTGTACCGTCCTAAAAACACACAACCAAGTACCTCGACCGCGTCGGACGCGAGGGCAGCGTCGACGACGAGTCCGTCATAGCCGCAAAAGGCTGCTGATGGCAGACGGGAGGTGCACACGAGGCGAAACTTGCGTGACGCGTCGGTGCGCGCCAATGTGTCCACAACCTAATGTAATAGTTCAACATGCATCATCCAATCACATATCATCGCCGGTACGGTCTCGATCGTTGTCGGCGTCACGTCGTGGACAACAACCGGTGTGCCGGATGCGGCACACGCCTCGAAGACGGTCCGCATGTCTTTTGTCGTCCCGTGTAGCACGCTATAGGGTGCGTCGTCGACTGCGAGCACGTTGAGGAGCAAGGTTTCCATCTCGGTCGACAAGTTCGTGATCAAAACGATGCTCGTCGCATGAGCCAGCGCGACAGCAGTCGTCATGTGCACGCGCGAAGAAAAGATGCCAATCTCAAAGAGCCAGCGCGCCCAGGGAGGCGGCGTCCCCTCGGCAACGATCGAGAGCGTCGGATGGACGCGGTAGGTCGCCGAGACGTCACTGCGCCAGTGGTTCAAGAGCGACACGCGCGCCTCCCGGTGGATGCTGGGCATGAAGACGACGATCGCCGCAGTCAGCGCGGCTTCCACCAACAGCGTTGCCTCCATCTCGAGCATCTAGGCCATCATCACTTCATGCAAGGCGCTGTGGTCATGTAAAAGGCACCTCGTCCAGCGAAGCCGTCATGGCCGCGGTCTCGACGGTCAGCAGCGAGAGCACGGCCGCGCCTTGCCGGGCCACATACCGAGCGCTGTCAATGCGCTCCTGGAGCTCTTTCTACACGGCGCCGCCTGAGGGATCCACGCTACAGGATGCATCGCTTCGAACCTTGGCTTGCATGTCGATTTGAATCTTGGTTTCGAGGTCGGTTGACGCCGCGTCGGCCGCGTCGAGCTGTGCTTGGCAGTCGGTAAAGGCCTTGACGAGTCCGCGGAGGTTGGCTTGCGACGCCGCGAGGAGGTCGAGCTTGGGCTGCACCAACTTGCGCACACGGCTATATTCGTAGATGGCCGAGATCCATACGACCATCGTGCTCGCGGCCACACTTTGCTTGACGACTTCGTCTTTAGAAAAGCTCGGGTCCGACATGAACGGCGACAACTTGTCCAAAATGACATCCGACACATTGTCCTACGCCGCATATCCATGCTAACATCACCGGTGCTATCTTCATGTCGTACCTTGTTGTAGCCAATCAGCGACGACACAAAGTTGACGTCGCTCAAGAGACGCCGCGCGTTCTCCCAGCTCGCGTCGACGTTGAAGAGGACGCACACCGCATTCAAGACGAGGTGCACGAGCAGCGGCGGGTGAATAAACGACTTGATCTCGGTAATGAAGCGCTTGTCCAAGGACGCGACGGCCACGTTGGCGTCGTCGAGCGTCCGGAGGGCGTCCTTGAGATCGGTCTGCGTCGCATGGTCCATCTCGTTCGTGGCGGCCACATGCGCGTCGACCTCGAGCTTTTGCTCGCGCAGACGATGCCGCAACTAGACATGTCTCTGTAGCATCCATGACATGTCGACGACATGGCGTGTACGTGATCGGCGCTCGTTTGGTGCGTTGTGAGCACGGCCTTTTTCGCTGCGATACCGGCGACCGTGGTCTCCATCGTTGCGACAAGCGTCGCTTCCGTCGCCTTGGCGTGGTCCACCTACAATTGTAGTACAAAAGTGTACAATAGTGTCCTTGCAAACGCTCGCACCTCGGCGTGTAGCTTGGCGAGAAGCTCGAGGTATGCTTTCGGTCGCTCCATGTACGCACCGACGTCGGCTGAGAGGCGCTCGAGCGAAGCAAACACTTGATTTGCAAACAGCGCGATTCCACGCAGCGTCAACGCGCATGTGGCGACCGCCGAGGCTGAGATGTGGCACATGGCACCAATCGCCGCCAGGACCTCCAGGTCCTTCTCGCCCGGAACCACGCGCGAGCGGTACTTTTGCCACGCCCGAAACACATGGCCGCGGCAGATCGCGTGGATCGACGGATGCGGCAGCACCGACGCGGTGGCAATGGGAACCGCCGTCGCGAGCTTGGGCGCGCGTTGGACGAGGCGCCGAAGGTCGTCGTGTGTCAAGACGACGACGACGCGGAGGTTTCGCTGCGCCGCACGCAAAATGTCGGCCCAGATGCCGGACAAGACGCCGTTGGCTTTGGTAATGGGCAGCACCGATGCGAGGTTGACATCGACGTTGGCTTCAAACTGCCGCAACACGTCGTCCGTCTCGCCGTGTTGTACGTTGAGAAGCGCATCCCGTTGCTTTTGCAGCTTGGATTCGAGCGACGGATCCGCGTTGGCGCCAACGAGGAGCGCGAGCTGCTCGGCGTGCTTGCGCGATAAGTGCGCGAGCTTGTCGTCGCGCACCTGCCGTGCCATCTACTCGACCCGATTGGCATCGATACAAGAAGCATGGGCGTCGCACCGCGTCCTGGTCGTCGGCCGAGAAGAGCAATGGTACTTCGCGCCCCAGCAATAGCTGCATGAGATCGTCGAATTGGCTCTCGGACATGTACACGCTGTGTTCCACCACGAGCGTCACGTCGCACTGCTCGACACCGGCGCTGCGCACGCCGCGCTGCACCACGTCTCGCCATCTCTCGTCGCCTCCCTACGCGCGCAGTCGAGGTGTCGTACGGCTTAGAAAAGAAGTCGACATACCTTGTAGTGCAGGCATTGATGCCCTAGGAGGTGGGCCGCGGCGGCCACGAGGGATGGCTTGCCGCAGCCAGCATCGCCAACATAGAGGCACCGGCGTCCCGGGGCGCCAAGCAGGCGACATAGGCGTAAAAGTGGCAGCACCTAGTGCAGCATCAGAGACTGATCAACGCCGATTCAAGAATCGCACCGCGGAGGGTGTGAGCGCATAGGACGGCGGGACATGCGGAGCCAAGGCCGCTTGAAGACGGTCAATGTCGGCTTCGATCGCGTCACTGCCCGTCACGAGCTCTCCGTAGACATGCCCGTCAAGCGAATCGATGGGCAGTGGCAGCGACACGGGTGCGGGAGACACGAGCGATTTGGAACTCTGACGACGAGCGATCGCGCGGGCTGCAGCGTGCACCTCAGCGGGCTCTTTGGTGCCAGGCAGCAAGCCGTGCGGATAGTACGTCCAGATCGCATCGTTGGCAAATGCCGCATTGCTTGTCGACGTGCGGTCGCAAAGCAAGGTCAGGCTCTTGTCGATTTCACTTGCGACCGTGGCCGTTAGCGGCGACGCGTCGTAGAAGACACGCTGTGCTTCGTGGTGCCACAGTCGCACGAGGCTTGCAATATCAAGTAGAGACGTTGGTGTTGGCGTCACGAGGTGCTGTAAAAAACCCAATAAATGCTGCAGCCGAAAGTGGGGTGTCTTGGCCTGGAGGTTGAAAAACAATCGATCGAGACCGCAAGGACAACACCGACTTGCTGCCGAATCGACACGTGGTACCGGACGTCGGGCCGCTCAAAGTGACTCGCAAAGAGTGGCTGCACCAGCTACACCGAGCAGAGATATTACACAAGCATGGTTGGAATCATCGATCTACCTGATACACATCGGTTGATGTCATGGTGTCCAGCACCAGCGGAAAGAAGCGGCCAAGAAGCCGCGCCAACGGCAGGCTCGGGTCGGTCAAGCTTGCTGTTACACTGAGCGGCGCGGTGGCAAGCAGCAATGTGTGCTCGATCGTATGCGGCTCGACAGCCGTGCCCAAGTAGACGTGGTGGCAGTCGAGAATCGACCGAAGCGTCGTGTGCGGCGACGGGTACTATACCAAAAGTACATGCGATCTTTTTACAAAGGGACCATGGAAACGAAGCACGTACTTTTGCAGTCGGCAGGTGCAGATCGTCGAGAAAGAGCAGCATGGTTTTACCGGGCGGCGGTTCGAGCACTGCTCGCCGCTCCCGTTGCAAGCACCGCTCGAGGTACCCTTCGATCGTGGCCGATGACGTGGCCGCCGTCAGGGCAAAGCACGTTGCGACAACGTTGCCTGTGTCCAGAGCCGTACAAGTTGCGTCCACGAACGACTTCCAAAACGTCGAGTCCCGGCGCCCCGGGTCGCCTTTTGCAGCCTGGAGCCGTCGCTTCATGCGACCCGCCATGGACGACACGAGCAGCGTTGTGCTCAGGCGCATGTTGGCCAGCCGGGCCTTGTCTTCGGTTGCAGGTTCGCACGGCGTGTCGAGCAACGAGAGGCCGCGCGCAGAGAACGCCGAGAGGCGCTGGAGCAGATCCACGACACACGACGACGAGCCTGCGTCCGGGGCACCACACACGAGCACCGGAGCGCCGCCGCGAAGGGCGTGCTTGGCGGCTACGTGCACCAAGGTGCTCGCAGCCCGGGGCATGTACACTGCAAACAGTGGGGCGTCAACGAGCGCGTTGGGAGCCGCAAGGTAATCTTTGCACTTGTGAAAGCGCTGCGATGAGAGATCGAGGAGACAGTCGTAGAGGCTGCTGTTGGCTCCGTTGGTTTGCCACGCCTCCTCCAGGTGCTTAAAGTGGTGCTCCAAGACAGTGCTGAGCATGCGCTTGGTATGAGCGTCCAATGCGCCGCCGAGACCCCAGAGGAGACTCCAGAGCACGGCGAGCTCGACTTTGGCCGCATAGGCCAGCATCGCCTCACTCGGCGCTTGAAAGATGGCGTCGAACGGCAGCGCTCCGTGGTTGGTGAGCATGGCTTGCAGCAAAGCGAGGACGTTCTGTGTTGCGTGCACGGGGCCCATGGGATACGCCATTGAGCCTTGTCGTTGGCACTCGAGGAGCCGATCGATGAACGCCGCGTCGCAGAGGTACTTGGTACACGTCTCGGCAATCATCCGTGGCACCCCGGGGCGCGCGGCGAGCCCCTTAACAAACCCTTGGAGGACGAGATGATGCAGCGCATCGTCGTGGAGATGCACAAGGCCGACGTTCGTGACAAGGCTCGGCGAAGCGTGGTCCAGGGTGACAGTTTCTAGCAGTAGCGAGACGTGCGGCTCGCACGTGACGACCCCTTTCGTGGCTTGCGGAAGCTGGTGCAACCCGAGGTGCCCCGCGCTACCGTACGATGCCATGCCAAGGAGCGACTCGATCCACGGGCCATTTAAGGCACCGTCCAAGCACACCCAACGACGCTGTCGGTAGGTCAAGAGCTCTTGCAAAAACGGCGGCAATGCTTCGTTTTGGATCGTGATGGGGCCGTTCTCGGGCGGCACGACAAAGTGACAGCTCGAGATCTCCGCGGGTTCGTGGAAGAGTGTCTTGAGGATCGATGTCTCGCCGTCGCCGCTTGTCCCAAACAGTCGATCGAGCGAGAGCGCCTACCCATGATGCCATATTCCATGCATACCGTCATTGTGACATGCAAAGCGATACCGCTGGCAGAACGCGCTTGATGCGAACAAAGCGCGTGTCATGCGGCGTAGCGAGCCCCCACGCGGCCATCATTGGGTAGGCTTCATGCACAATCGGCTGCAGACAGTTGAGCGCATTGGCCACCACATGCATCGTTGTCGTCTTGCCTGCTTTCGGCGCCCCGGTCACGATCACCGTGCGGAACATCGCAACGGCCGTCGCGACCCGGGTTGCCGTCGCCTGTACGCTCGGCGTCAGTACGATCTGGTGCTTCTCGTACGCTTGGCGTAGGCACGATGCAAAGAGGTCGATGACACTCGCATCGGCGGTTGTTGGCTCGCCCGCCACGGGTCGGGGCGGCGGCGACATGAACCACAGCGCCTTGATGAACGCTGTCATGTGGGCATGCACCTCGGGCGCTGTCGGGAGCACGTGCTCGTTGAGATAGGCAAGTAGTGTCGTCTGCAAGCCATGTGCTTCCTCTAGCGTTGCGTCGCTCTGACGCTGCTGCGCCAACGGTCGCAGCGCTTGCAGCGCTGCGGGGAGCGTGGCCACATGTCGTAGCTCCGGGGCCTCGCGCGCGATCGCGGCTTGCAGCTCGTGCCACACGCTCGCGAGCTTACGGGCGGCATCGGCCACGTCCTCAAAGCCATGGCTGTACAAGAGTGCATGCATGGCCACTTGCATATCGAGCGGAATGAGGGGCAACGAGATTGTGCGCTCGAGAAGCGCCGAGAGCGCAGGTCGATGTGCGGCCGAGGCGAGGCACGAGGACGTCATCATAACGCTTGCGCCGATGCTAAAGTGCACTTCGCGGTCTTCGCGGTCGTCGAGCGTGATAAAGTGCCGCTTGGCCATCGCATGGTTCTACGCACATAGTGGTATGTCAGTCGGACGCGTATGTCATGCTGACACATCGCGTTCACGCACCGAGATGGTCGAGATGAGCTGTGCAAGGTACTGTAGTAACGAGCTCGATAGACCGTCCACGTGCCGTAAGAGCAAGGTGCCCGAGAGAAGAAGACTCCCCGTCAAGAGCTGCTCGAGTTGTAAAGGACGCATGAGCGGCGTGCACACAGTCTGGAGCAGCTCTCGCCCCGTCGCCCGCGACAGCATTTGCACCATCGTCGACTTGCCCGAATTCATCGGCCCTGAGACAAGCGTCGACTAGACACATCCGTCCGACCTCGTCCCATCATCCAATGACGCGTACCTGGAACGACCGCAGCGTATTAAAGAGCGCAAGGTGACAGCGCGCCGTCAGTGGCGACAGCACGAGTGTGCTTCGCGTCGGGTTGCAATACGTGTACCCGTACGGCACACGGACATCGTAGAGCTCGAGAAACACATCGCCCGAGTCTTCCTGTATGAAGTAGCGCAGGTGGTCCTTCCCGTTGGACACACTTAGACCCGCAATGACATCGCGGTAGTAGAGTTGTTGCAGAAGCAGCGTGGCGGCCTTGATACTTGCGTGCTGTGAGACCAACGGAAGACTCTGCACCATGGTTGCAAGGCGGGTTGCATGGGCCATCGACATGGTCGTGAGCGTCGATGTCGTCGCATGCGTGAGCGCGGCGGTCATGTGATGGCAGACGACAACGTCTTGGCCAACGAGAAGGCACTGCAGTGCTGTGTCGCGCAGCATCTCAAAGGTCAGTGGCTCGTCGAGATGGGCGAGCCAGAACGGTATGCTGTCCCGCACCAGTTTCTGCACGCGCTCGTGGAGGCGGCGATGCACGGCCGCGACCCACTGCTCGACATACCCTCTCGCTTTGAGGTTCTTGCCGAGCGTAATGACTTCTGGGTACGGAAGCCGGGGAGCATGCGCCGCGACAATGTCTTGGCTCTTGTCGTCGACGCCAAACTCGAGGTACTGAATGCACGGGAAGACATAGTGCAAGTACTTTTGGATCTGGCGTGGATCCCGGCATTGGGAAATGAGCTCCGCAAGCTCCGCGTCCGAGAGCACGTAGAAGCGTGGAAAGTTCTGCCGCTTCAGCGCAAGGTACCCTTCGAGGAGCTTGTAAATCGACCCAAACCCGTGGTTGAGCGCGATGAGCTGCTCTTTGACGCCGGTTGCGCGCGCCGTTCGGAGCAGCGACGGATTGCGGCTGATCTTGTCGACAAGGGCCTTCCACGTCTTCTCGAGTTGGCTGTACGTCATGGCTTGCTCGGGCACTGCGCGCATAAATTCGGACGAGAGAACCACCTAAGATTGATACATTGATACAAACTGAAGTGGGAAAAAGCATCCACGAGACCTCCATGTGGTCCCAGTACCGATGGCACTCTTCGAGGCGCGTGATGAGCTCGGTCATGCTGACGACCTCGTCGCGCCACTTGAGCGCGAGCGACTGAATCGGGCGAATGTACGACGAGCCCAAAATCGTTTGTAATAGCACCTAGCACCATGGTCGTTTCCAATGTATGTGCCAATGCAGTCGGCGTACGTCCGAGTCTTCAAGCATGGCGAGGACGTCCGAGGTGTTGCCGAGCACGAGGATCTCGCGCGTGTCGTGGTCGACGAGCCGTGGCAGAAACGGAATGTCTTTGGTTTCCCAGACTTTGATGGCTTCGTGGAGACTCTTGCTGATCGCGGCTTCGGTCGCGGCCTCCTGGACCACTTCATGGATTGTGTCCTTGGCCGTCTCGACGTTGAGCGACATCAAATACGACAGCGGTATTTCCGAGTGGCGCGTATACACCGAGGCCCGCGTGTCAACTTCGTACTCGAACTTGACACCCAGTTTGTTTTCAAGGCGCTGCCAGTGCCGGTCGTCGAGATGGTCGCTGCAGAGATCGCGGACGATCGGTGCCACGTGGGCTATCGACGATTGGAGCTTGCGGAGCCGGCGTGTCAATGGCAACGTCGCGTACTTCTCCACCATACGCCCGAGAATGTCGGTGAGCTGCTCGAGCAAGAGGTTCATTTCGTTGATGGGGAGATCGTGGAGCGCACTCGGGCCCCAGCGTGCGAGCGTCTCTTCCGTCTCGGTGACGAGCGCCCACACGTCCTAGAGGCATTATTCATTCTGCTGGCACATTCTTTGGCTGGCATCCTACGTGCTTGAGCGAAAGGTCGTGTAACAAGGGCGGTAGCGACGCGAAAAGCGACGTTTCCGGCAGCACGTTGGGCAAGAACGAGTTGAAGAGACCGCGCATGTACACGAGACGCTTCGCCTTGCGCTCCTGGTCCTGCGCCGCCTCCTGGAGGTGCTTTGCGAACGCAAGCGCCTTCTCCGCGTCCATGGCGCCGTCGCACACTTGGTCCGAGCGCGCGTCGGTCGCCAAATACTCGATGTTGGCGTCCAACTATCAATATATCATGTCAACCGAGTGGAAAGGTCGCATCGAACAGACGTGCTCGATGGTCTGCGTGAGGAGACCCGCGTAGTCGCGGATGTCGGTGTCGCGCCGCGCAAGACACGTCGTCGCGTTGGCCTTGAGCGTCGAGAGCTCGGGCCCGCAGAGATCGTACGCCGCTTGCGTATGATCGGGCACGGCAAAGCCGGCAAAGTGCAACACGTCAAAGTAAGACGTGATCTGCGCCGCTTCGTGGTCTTTGGTCAAGAGCTCTTCGGTGACCTCCTACAACACGCCATCGTCGTCATGTCAGCAGCACGAAAGCGCTTCCTGTACGTGGAGGTTCAAGAGGTAGGCCACGAACGCGTCCAGCGTTCTTGACGCGGGCCGTTGGATCTTGGTCGATGCGATTTCAATGTACGAGAGGAGATCCTTGCAGTTGGTTTCGGCCAAAATCGGGAGCACGCGAGCGTATTCATGGAGGCACCGACCGGGCGACGGCACGAGCTGCGCCTTCAAGCCCAACGTGTGCACGCGAATGAGCTACCGCGCGTTCGCATGGCCGAAGGACGTTGATGCTACCACTGTACCTGAATGTCTTGTCGTGTGACGAGGTCGTCGAGTTTGGCTTGCTACGCCGCGGGATTCAGATGCGAACTCATAAGACAATATGGTACATTGTGCTGGAAGCGCTCAATGTCGGTTTGCATGAGCGCGAGCGGGTACATGCCATGGCGGTGCTGCGTCGCAACGAGGTCAAAGTCGATGCCATTGTTACCAACGTGCGACGTCCGCAGGCTCTCAAAGCACTTGGCGTATGCGTGTGCAGCGCAGGTCGCGTCCTTGACGATCTCGTCAATCTGCGACGCGACCAAGAGAAACGCCGCATCTTGGCTGGCGCGCTCGTGGAGGAGCGACGGCACGCGCGTCACTTCCTTTTCATCCAATGGCATCGCGCCGACCTCGGTCGACCGGACTTCGTATGCAAACGTGAGGTAGGGCAGGAGGACGGGGCAGTGCACGAGGCGCGTCACATGTGCGCACACGTCAAAGAAGCCGTTGAGCGTCGCTGTAATGCTCTGGCCGAGCTCGCACAATGCCGGCGTGAATGCGAGCGTCTCGTCACCACCAAGGCTCAAATCGACTTCAAAGAGCGGCTCTGGGCGAAGCACGTCGACCTACACCGATAACGTACTGTGTTAGAGAGGCTCGACTTGAATCGATAAGGCAAGCAAAATGAAGAAAATGAAGAAATGTAGTGAAATGCAGTAAATGCAGTAAAATACAAAAGAATGAGTGAAATGCAGCATGGCAGCCCCTCGCGCATCCACACACGTGCGTGACGCACGTGGAATGACATAGTACGTCGCCCGATCGCCGCTGCGAAAAGCGACGGAAAAAATCACGCAACGCACCTTTTGCGAGCTCTCGTAGACGCTCATCAAATCCGGATCGATCGCGAGCATACGTTCTTGGTCCAGCAAGATATCGAGGCCATGGGAGAACTCGTCGAGGCTAATGTCGCCGTCGCCGTTGCTGTCAAAGCAGCGATGAACGCAGCGACGCGGTGGTGGAGGGCGTCGCCTTGGAGCTTGCCATCAAACACAAACTGCAACAAGCGCGTGAGCTGCGCCGTGTTCATTGACTCGGTGCCAAAGGTATCAAAGCGGCGGTACGCCTTGATATAGGCCTCTTTCGAGAGCAAGAGCGATGGGCCCTTGGCGCCCGATGCGATTGCAAGCACGGTCACGAGGTGGTGCGCGCTGCGAACGACCATGTCTTGGTACATGTCGAGCAGCATAAAGTCCACCCGGGTGATAAAATGCGCGAGTTCGAGGCAGCGTGCGCGCTTCACGGCCGCAATCGACCATTTTACTTGGTCGACCGCCGGCGCATGCGTGCGCTTGGCTTCGTTGACTTGGTATCGGAACCGATTCCGCTGCAGCTCGGCGCGGATGGCGTTCATATCAATGTCGACGGCGGTGCCGGACACGAGCGACTGGAGCCGGTGGCGGCGCTTTTTTGGCGGTGAGTCGTGGCGCTTCGTTGCGTCGTGGCCCGACGTGCGCTTGAGCTGGTCAACATGAAACACTGTGCTTTTCCGGGACGTGAAGCAGGTCTCGGCATGCGTAATGACCGACTCGGTCGTCGAGTATTGCGACAAATATTCGCGCGCGATCGTCGCGAGGAGATCGCGGAGGCCATTCGCGAGGTCGGTCACGCGGGTTGCTATCTCAATGACGCGGCGCCGCTACAAAGCATGGTTACGTCTCTCGATGAAGTCGCTGGCGTCGTACGTGGGTATGCACAAAGGCTGAGGGGGCACGGACACTGTTGTTACTTGGTTCAAAGAGCGTGAGGTCCGTGAACGGCAGGAGCTTGTTGCGAATGTGCACCATGGTCGCGTACAATACCGGGTTGCAAAAGTACAGCTTGTTTTGAATGGCGTCTTGGGCAGTTGCAAATTTGTGCCGGCGGTAGTAGCGCTTCCAGCACACCAGCGCCTTGAGCCCGCGGTACCTAACCCTTGCCTTAGCCGCCGATTCGTTTCGAGAGAGCTACTTTTGGAAGAGCGCAATGTTGGAGACGGCGGCAAACACCCGGCACTCGCGGTCCCACTCGGCTTTGGATTGGTACTCGACCGTCGCGTTCGCCTTGCAGTAGAAGAGCAGACCCGTGTCATGGATCACGTAAAAGTCGCACTTGATATGCGTGTCAATGATGCGGTCGTCGCTCGTGAATTGCAGCGGCTCGGGCGTCGTCACATGCGCGTGGTTGGCGTACACAGTGTGCTACATGTAAGGGATCAGCACAGCGTCATTGGCACAGTGCGTACAAAGGGCACGGGCACGAGCGTGTACGGGTCGTAGCGCGCAAAGGGTGAGAGCTGGTGCGCCGGTACAGCGTAGTAAAAGGTGTCGTTTGCTGTGTTGGATGGCGCTTCGAGAAAGGCGCGGAGCTGCTCCCGCGGTGTGTGCTTGGGCGCGACGCGCGATCGCATTCTCTCGCGGAGTGCTGTACTGTCGTCGTGATTGGCTTCGGGTGTCAAAGGGGCCGCTTCCGGGCGAAGGTCGAGTTTGGCTGTCATGCCAATGACCACTGCTGCCATCTTGAAGCGTTTGCTGGAGCCGCCGACGTCTTGCAACTGCGACGGCGGCGCATGAAGGCGCGCCGCAGGTGGTCGTGGCGCCAGCTTTGTATCGTCTTGGTTGTTGTTGCTGTTGCCGCGTTCTGTAGGATCGCCGACGGCACCGAGCGCATCGTGGCTGTCTCTGGTTGTCTGCAAGAGCTTACGCTGGGCCGTACTGCTCTTAGGCCGCAGCAAATCTACACCAAGCAAGACAGATCATGCGTCAGCCATAGAGAAATGACATGGGGTGTCTACTCCGAGGATTGGATTGTTGTTGCGGGCGTGTCGGCGCCGCCGAAGCGGCACGCGCCGGTCGCATGGCTGGTGGTGGCTACACCACAAGCAATATGAGCCGACGCCAGGATCGGCCCACGTACTACCGCCGCCGTCTCGGCGCGTGGCGATAGGACCAGTCGCTGCTGCATGGACGCCTGTACACATGCATACTCGTATCGCATCCATGGTATAGAGAGGTGAGGCGCACCGATGTCGCGCTGGTGGCGTGGGGCAAGGTCGGTCCAGCCGACGCCGGTCGGTGCGACACGTCGGGGCGCCGACGCGCGCCAGCAAACGAGGTCGGTAGCTCGCCACGTAAGAGTACGAGCTCCGTCGGTGTGTGCATCGTGTGGCGGCCCATCTCGGCCCGCGGGCTCATGCTCGGGCTCTCCTTTGGCCGTCGCATTTGCGTCTTTTCGATAGAAAGGCCGTTTACGGTCGGATCTTTTCGACTCGAGATCATGGCACCGGTCGACGACGATTCCGACGACGACGCCGTGTGGGCATTTGCACCGCCACCCGCGTCCGTGCTTCGTGACGCGTACACCATCACGGACGTTGACATGACGCCGTTCTATGACATCGACCCGAGCTTCGAGCGCAAGCTACATGCCCTCGGCCCTCGGTCGCACCACGCGAATAGCCTCCAAGTCGCATGCCGCGACGACGTGCCGTCGCTCGATTGGTCACAGACGTACGTGACGCAGGTGCACATGGAGGCGCTGGCGGCGTACGTTGCGCTCACGTCGCGCCACCTCGTCTCGCTCAAGTAGGCCCACTTCGTATCGACTGGATACAATAATTCATGCTCCAACGCTAGTCTGTCGAAGAATGCGCTCGGACCACGTGGCGCCGAGCTCCTTGGGCACGCGCTCATCACCAACAACACGATCGAGTATCTCGACGTGAGCGAGACCGAGCTCACGGGAAGTCCGCTCCGCCCGTCCTTTGCCGGCCTCGCCAAGCTCGTCAAAGGCTGGGAGAGCAAGCGCTCGATGTTGCGACACCTCAAGTACGCTGTCGACCTGCTTCTATACTGCGTCACTCAGGAGGGACAGTAGCATTGCTAGCGCGGGGCTGCAACCCAATGGCGTCCGGCTTGTCTGCTCGGCACTTGCTTTTCATCGATCGCTTACGTCGCTCAATGTGTCGAACAACATGGCTGGCCTCTTCAAGGACAAGCAAGGCTACATCGCGCTTGCGAGTCTGCTTCGCTTCTCGGGATCGCTCACATCTCTGGACATGTCAAACAACCCGTTCCAGTCGGGTGCGACATCTGCCCTCGAAGAGGCGCTCGATGGCAACACGGCGCTCACCTCTCTCGACGCCACGGGCTGCAACGTCGCGGGAGTCTTTGAGCGAGTACATCTACCTGCACTATGGGACCTTCGTCTGTAGCACCATACAGCCTGAAACAATCTTCACATCCTCACTGTCTTCGTCTTGCGTTCATCTCCAAGAAAGAAATTGGCCCACGGTATGCGTACTAATGGTTGCGGCAAATTGCACTATTGCATTTGGCCTTGCTACGTCGTTGAACTCGGCGAAATACCGTTCGAACGTCAATACGATTGATAGACTGGCACTGGATGCTAGACGCGGGGTAGGTGTCGACACCACTGGGGGCGCTTCGTGGGCGATGCTGCCGTCATGGCACGCTCCATGGGTGTGGTCGCACCCGACGTCGGGCTGCCTCTATCGTCCGTGTAGTTGCCCCAGTAGAGTGCCGACGATCGATCGTGGCTCTTTGGTGGGCTCCATACGCGGTTGGCGGCTTTCCATTCGTGAAATGTTGTGATTGGGTCGGCTTCCGGTGCTGCTTTCGGAGTCCGTAGCTGGGCCAAGGACGCCGACTGCGTTATTGACGCCCGGCGTGGCTCGGCGAGCAACGGCCGGCGCTGGAGCTCTTTGACTTGACTTTCGAGCTGAGTTATCTCGTTGCGGAGGTCCTACATATTGTCTTTGATACTGTAGACTGCTGGGAAGGGTGGTTTGCGGACATTAATGATGGCGAGCGCCTCTTGCTCGCGCTCCTGGGCCATGTGAATCGAGTGCCACGAGCGCTCGCACTCCTGGTCGCGTTCAAGGATACGTCCTTCTTCATGTCAAACCATAGAAATGGCTAATACCTCTTTAAAGAAGCCAAGGCCTTCGGTTTGGGTGTCCTTGACTTGCAGTTTGGTCTGGAGCTTGACGACTAGCAAGTATGTACGTCGTGTCATCTCCATCGCGTGGGATCCGACTACCGTTGAGCATCACATCAAACTTGAGCTCGCGGCACTACAGCGCGCTCGAGACCACCATCGATGATAGACATCGCATCGTGGTACCTTGACAATGAGCTGCTGTTCGCGCGCCAAACTCTCACGGAGCTGGCCGCTGAGCATGGCGTACTGGGCCTTGAACCATTCAAAGAGTTTGAGAATTTGACGCTTCTGAGCCGCCTCGCCAGTGTCGGTCTCGAGAATATGAATCATGTTGATGACTTCTTCGCGACTCTCGAGCTCCTCGACCGTCGCTGTCGGCGCTTGCTTCTTGGGCGACTTTTTCGGTGACGGCAGGCGCGTCATCGTCGAGCCGCGGCGGAGGTTAGGTCGGCTCGTCGCCTTCTCCGGCGACGTGCTGTTAAGGCTCGTCTTGCGTACAGACAGCCGACGCCTGTCTTTCTCAGCCTTCTCGGGCATCGTGCAAGCGATGGATAATGTGCGTAACCGGCGATCGTTTTAGACAGGCACCAACAAAACGGTCTTTGTTGTATTACGTACAAGGGTAATACGACCAAGGGCACGACAGATGGCCTTGAATACACTACTTTGATGCGGGTTCGTAGACACGTGTGTGTATCGGGGGGTGCTAACGGTGTGGCTTTCTACCTCCGTACTGGCGCGCAATGTTGTCATCACCCAACCCTAACTCCTGCCCTAACCCCGGACAAGCGCAGGAAAGGCGCAGTGGTCATTCCTGACAAGCTGTGACTTGATGGTACCGATGCCAACGCCAATGGGAAAGAGAAGAAAGGGACAACACCTACGGAGCTCGAACCCCGCACCTCCTGCATGTGAAGCAGGAATCCACCGACTGGACAAAAGGTGGTCGACTAGGTGCTATCTGCATCTTGACAATACCGACAAGAACCAAGGCGATGGAAACGTTTCGTCGATCCAATACATGCACGATAACTCGCGGTCGTATTAAGGACGCAGCTTCTTGGTTCGCAGCTACGCATTCTGGTTGTGCACGTAGATGGCGACCACCGTCGTGTCGTCGACCTTGCCGCCGCTGAATTGATACCCATAGCCCTCCCGCGCGAGCTTGGAGAAGGGAGATTCGCGACCTTGATCGTGGGCAAAGGCGTTGGCCATTAGAGTGAGCGAGTACGAGACATCGATCATGGCTTGTCGCAGCGCTTGCGGCGACGACGACGTGGCGAGCACGGGGGCCACAAAACGCATCGTCTCGTCGAGGATTTCAGCGTCAAACACGTTGTCAAAGAGCCCGTCCGAGCCGATGATGATCATGTCGCCTGCTTCGATCGTATGGCGGGTCGTGAACGAGCTGGCCGGCGAGTACGGGTCGACGTCCGGGCTCTCCATCCACGACGGGTACAGCGAGAGCTGGTACGGCGCGTTGAATGCCCACGTCTGCTCGACGCTTCGAAAGACGACGCGGCCGTTCCGTATGAGGAGGTAGCCCGAGTCCCCGAGGTTCGCCGTCTCGAGCGCTCCGGTTGCTCGGTCGAGAGCGAGAAACACCGCGGTGGAGCCGCCCGGATTGGCATCGCCGCCACGCAAAACGTGCTGGAAGCCATCCTCCATGAGCGAGAGCGGGTCGAGGCGCGGTGACGACTCGAACGACGCCTTGGCTCCGGCCACGAGCGCCAGCGAGAACGCCGACGGATCGACGCCGCTTTCCGTCCAGCCGCCAACGCCGTCAGCCACGCCAAAGCTCATATACGTTGGGTGCGCAAGAGAGCTCACGTAGTACGCGTCTTCGCCACAGTTGGCGCCGACGTTGGCGTTGGCCGCCTTGGTCACTTGACGGCGCTTCTTGGGCTTGCAGCCGACACCGATCTCCACCGACAGCATCGTCGCTGGCTTGGTGCAGCTGGCGTGGCCATGGTCGTCCAGCGCGCACGTCTCGTCGGTCGGCGCATCGCGCGCGGCGACGACCGCGACCAGCAGGCCCAGCCACCGCACGAGTTGCATCTTCCAGCGTTGAGTACTGTAGTTCGGGATCATAGCACCCTTTTTGTCCAACACACCACTGAATTCGACGAAAAGACCCCTTGTTGTCAAACGGGTCTCCTCTTTTGTACTGTCTTATCCGGATGCCGGATGCGACTTTGCCGTCTGGCTGTGTCGCTTCGCGAGCCGAGATCAAGATCTTAGAGCCGTCCAGCATGGGCAAGAATGGCGTCAAGGTCATTATCCGCGCGCGGCCGACCGCGGTCTTTGCGACCAACCAGATCCACATCGACCAGGACGACAACACGATCGAGATCGACGTGAGCGATACCAAGGCCGAGACGGGGCCGTCCAACAAGAAGGAAGCGTGGAAGTTCAAGTTTCACCAAGTGCTCCAGAACGCCGGCCAAGACAAAGTGTACGAGGCGATCGCGCGCGACATTGTGCATGGCAGCATCGTCGATGGCGTCAACGGCACGATCCTCGCATACGGCCAAACCGGCGCCGGCAAGACGTTTACGATGATCGGCGACACGCGCAACTACCAGCACCGCGGGATTGCGCCACGGGCGATCGCGCAGGTCTACCAAGAGATGGACGCGCGCATTGAGATCGAGTCGACAGTCCATGTCTCGTACATGGAGATCTACAACGACCGAATCTTTGACTTGCTCGCGCCGCACGACGACGACCTCGACGCCGCCGACTACGTGGTCGTCGAAGACAGTCGAGGCACGTACGTGCGCGGGCTCACGCAGGTCGAGGCACCAACTGAGAAAGATGCCCTCGACCAGCTTTTCAAGGGCGAGCTCCAGCGCACGGTCGCCGAGCACCAGCTTAACAAGCGCTCGAACCGGTCGCACTGCATTTTTACCTTTCACATCAGGTCAAGCGATGATCATCACATCGTCGTGTCCGTCTTGAGGCTCATACGATGTGCTCGAGTAGAAGTCGCGCACAGGCGGGAACGAGCACGTCGTGCACAGCAAGCTCCACCTCGTCGACCTCGCGGGCAGCGAACGCCTCAAGAAGACCATGCACGACGACGACAGCAAAGCACACAAGTCGACCATCAAGAGGGAGAGCATGTACATCAACCAGAGCTTGACGTTCCTCGAGCAGTGCATTGTTGCGCTCGGGTCACGGGAAGCGCGGCACATTCCGTACCGCCAAACCAAGCTCACCAACGTTCTCAAGGACTCGCTCGGCGGCAACTGCAACACGCTCATGTTTGCGTGCATTTGGGTGCGTCCCCTTTCTTTTCCTTTGAGTTTTTGCATTTGATGTTTGATGTTTGATGTTTGATGTTTGAGTTTTGATTTTGAGTTTTGATTTTGAGTTTTGATGTTTTATGTTTGCATGTGGCGTTTTGGCTGTGGATCTTTTCGTTGGAATGTTGGATCCTCACAACATGGGGTGCTCTCTAGGGCGAAAGCAAGCACATTGAAGAGACCATCTCGACGCTCAAGCTCGCCCAGCGCATGATGCGCGTCCAGAACGAAGCGACCTCGATCGTCGAGACGGACCCGAGCATTCTACTCAAAAAGTACGAGCGCCAAATCAAGGAGCTCAAGCAAGAACTCACAATGCACGATGCGCTCGTCGAGCGGACGGGCGTCGTCTACGACGAGCACACGCCGGAGCAAAAGTTTGAGCTCATGCGACTCGTGCGCGCCTACACGGACGCGCCGACCGACGACGACTTTACGCTGCTGCAGCTCTCGAGCTTGCGGCACATCAAAGAGCTCTTTCGACAGTATCGGCTCCTGCTCCGGAACGCCGAGAGCGCATCGCCCCAGGCCTTAGCCACGCGGACGTCCACGTCGAATGCATCCCGCGACAACGGCAGCGCGCCGACGACTCTCGACGACGAAGAGAAGCTCGTGGGGGACCCGGAAGAGCACGGGTTCGTGCTGGGGGTGGCGCCGGCCGGTGCGATGCCCGTGTCGTTGGAAGTCAACAAGAAGGATACTGCGTTGCGCGTCGAAGAGACGACGAACGCATCGATCGACGAGTTGGCGAGCGATGAGAAAGCTAGCAACAATGACGTCAAGGGAAGTGACGGCGACGACGACGATGGAAAGAACGATGCGTACAAGGTACACAACTATCCATTTATCCCAAAATGGATACGGCATCTTGGATATGTGGATAGTTTTTTGTGATGAACGGTCCAGGGAAGAAGACACACGTTCAGCTGCAAGAGGAGAAAGAATCGCTCAAGCAAATCAAGGAGAAAATGAAGGACATTACCGGGCAGCTCAACCGCACCAAGGCCGCGATCGACGAGCTCAAGCTGCAAGTGAACGAGAAACGTACGACGCGCAAGAGTCCGAGTAAGGAAGGCAAAGCGACCGCCGACGATGAGGTCGTGGACGAAGAAGAGTTCATCTTGATGCAGCGCGAACGAGAAGCCAAGCGCGACTACCGCGTGCTTTTTGACGACCTCAAGGAAGCCCGCGCCGAGTACGACTTTACGCAGCGCAGCATCGAGCTCCTTCGCATGCGCATGGTCACGGACTTTGAAGAGTGGTTCCGGGACGGCGGGAGTCAAGCCAAGAACGGCGACGGCGACGGCGACCAAGACAAGCTGGACGAAGGGGAAAAGTTTGATCAAATGGAAGTCGACCGCATCCGCGCGCAAGATCCCGACTCGCTCGCGTTCTTTCAGGCGCAAAAGAAGATGCGGCACAGTACGTCGACGAGCGCCAACCTGCGCAAAAGTAAGCGCTGAGTCCGAATTGCGCCTGGTATGGTAAAAGATATCGTACATTTGGTGGTATGAGATTGATCGATTTGTCTTTAACAACATGCATATTGAGGTCAAGGGTCTGCTGTGGAGACGAGCGGTATCTCTACAGTGTCTCCGAGTTCTTGATTCGCGAGCCCCCAACGAGCCCCTCTCTCTGTGCTTCTCGCTCGTTCTCAAGCTGGCCTTGGATCCCAGAGCGACGCGTCTGTCGCACGGACGGCCTTGAATGGCTTGCGAGGAATTGCGCACCAGTACGTTGGAAGTGATTGTCTACTGGCATATCGTCTGCACAGACACTCGCGCCTCAACGCTACCGGATGATCTCGGCGCCTTGGTACCTTTTTTCAACCTGGTTAGTAAATGTGCCGAAAGATATCAAATCGACGCGTTTGCCCGGGTTTGAAGCGGGGTGACAATGCAAGGTCCTGCACAAAGACATCGAACCATAAAAGTGAGGTAACCTGGCGTGCGGGTCTCTTGACTCGATTGCGAATCCAGCCATGTTGACGTGAAATTGGGCCGCAACGTGCCTGCACTCGCTGCCTCTCAGTTCTTTCCGACGACCTCATGAAACGATTCGGTCGGTGATATTGATGGCGCCAAGTCGTTGCAGAGCAGTTCCACGCCCGTCACTCGCATCCATTCAAGCAGACTAAAGTGTAGCGAAGGTCCAAGTAAAAGAAAGGCGAAACTCCGTCGCCGTCTCTCCTCGGTGCCGTTGTAAACTTGCTCCGCCTCAAACCAAGCAAGACGACGACGCGACACACGCTGAGATTACTCTATGGGTACGCGCCACTCGAGAAGACTTCACCAAGCACGTCGTCGTAATCGGGATCTTCGGGCGACGGCGGCGCAAGGAGCTCGGTGGCCACCATCGACTTGCGTTTCTTCTTTTTCTTGGTCGACACGATTGCCTTGTCGACGTCGTCGATTTCGTCGCCGGCTTTGGGAAGTGACTTGCGACGCCGGCGAGAGGGTCTATCTTCCGTCTCGCCCAAGCCCGACGTCTTCGAGTCCGTGGTTCGTCGGCCTTGGCGTGAGCCTTGGCGCGACTGGAGGCGGTCCCGAGGGAGGTAGTCGTCCGTGTGCTCTTCGCCGGCCAATGGGTACACAAGCTCGGTCGACGCCGTTCGGGCTTCGTCCTAAAAGTGGTGTCGACATCCAATTACCGATGGCAAAAGGTCGGTGTACAGTGTGCACGAGCAGCGGCTCTAACGATTGCCCGAGGCCGTTGTTGGGGCTCTCCCCATCCTCGCGATGGCGGTGCTTGGACGACCGTTTTTCTCGCTTGGACTTGGACGACCGCTTTGGCGTCCCATCGTCCCCCTTGATATCGTTCGGCGTCGTTTTGAGGGCACTCGGCAGCTTGACCGACCGACTCAAGTCGGCCAACGGCAGCAGCGTCAAGCCGCCGGACGACTCGTCGCCTCGACTTGAAGGAACCTCGGTCGTGCGCTACTCTCGATACATTGTACGTTGCGAGCAGGAGCCAAGCGCACCCGAGTGGTCTTGTTGCGCGACTTGCTCGACCGATTGCTGAGCGCGGCGGTGCCGTCACACACCTCGGCGCCGCCGACTTCACCACCTGTGATCGGGCGGTCAATGGGCGTGAACGCGCCGCCGCCCAACGTCGGCAGCTTCATGCTGGTAAAGTCGCTTCGCGGCTTGATGCGGGGCAGCTGCCACCTAGCGCAATCGACGTGCTACAGTTTTTGTACATGTAGCGAAGTACTCTTCCTTGTCGTCGAGCCAGATGGCCTTGTCCCAGACTTTTACAAGCTCGTTCTGGGGCAAGAAAAGCTCAACGAGCTGCTCCATGAGCTTGACCTCGCGTGTCTGTTGACGTATCGTGTCCATGAGGCTGTCGCGCTCGCGGGCAAAGTCGGCTTGTTGGTCAATGATTTCTTCGCGCGCCGCCTCGAGCTTGGCCTTGTATTTAAGCTGTTTCTTTTTGTGCAGCGCCGAGTTGGCTTGTACTTGCTCCTGCGCGCTCTTGAGCTCGTCCTCGACAGTGGCCTTCTCGGCTTGGAGCGCCATTTGAGCAATTTCCAATTGGGTTTCTTTTTTCTTTTTCATTTTGAGTTTGATTTGCGCCCGTCGGTATTCGACCTACGGACAATGCGTCGATGCATCCAAGATGACAACATTCGTACCTGCTGTTTTAAGAGCGCGATTTCCGCGTCCGCGGGCGAGTCGTGCTTGCCACAGATTTGCGATCCGATTTTCTGCAGCTTGGACGCGAGCTCGCTCTTCTCCCGCACGTGGTGTTGCATGGCCTATTGGTATACATCAATATATAGTACGCTAGAAATGAAACGAAATGTCGCACCAGCTGGGCTTGTTCGAGCTCCTTGGCCATACGATCGCGGTGGTTTTGAATTGATTGGTTCATCTCTTGCAGCGCCTCTTTCTCCTTGAGATGGCCCTCCGGCACCACTTCACGTACGACTTCGACGACTTCCTTGACAATTTTAACCTTGGGCGGCTGCGCGGTGCGCGCGACGGCCTCGGCCATGAGCTTCTCGGCCTTGGCCATCATATCAGCCGCCTTGGCTTTCGTGTCTTCGGCCTCCCGGAACCGCCGCTGATCCTCTTCGCGCTTCTTTTCGATGTCGGGATCGACCTCGGCGACCTCTTGCGACGATGGGCGCACGACCGTTTGCATCTCGAGCATCATCTTCTGTGCCGTTTCCATCATACTGGCGGCGTCGGCTTTGGCTTTCTCGATGGTTTCTTGCTCGAGCCGGAGCTGGCGCTGCATTTCCTCTTTTTCCCGCTGCAGTGATTCATGAAGCGCCTGGGACTGGGCCGCGAGCGCTTCCTCACGCTCGGTCGTGCTGCGCTGAAGCTGCAACGCGCGTCCCGATGGCGTCGTCGGTACAGCGACACCGTCAGTGTTGGTGGCCATCAAATTCGCTTCCTATTCACACATATATGTGCCTCTCTCTCGATGTACTTCTTCAAGAGTCATGGAGGCCGATGACGTCGGTGATCGTTCAACTAATGCTCACGGTGTCTTTCCACGTCATTCAACGTCGATGCCGCACCTCGTGGCGGCGGCGTCGGGCGAAATGTGGCATCGGGCGGCGTGCTGTCGCAACCATGAAGCAATCATGTGCAAGAAAAGGCCGTACACTGCTTTTTGCTGGGCGAGAAGCATCTTGAGTTGCTCAATCTCGGTCTTGTATTCGCGTAATTTGGCGTCTTTCGGGTCTTCGTTGACCGTCGGTTTGTTCTTGATGTTTTTGGCGCGGTTGGCGTAGCGGAGCGTCGAGAGGGTCTCGTCAAAGTTGTAGTCGGCAGGACTAATGGCGGCGACCATGACAGTCTTGGTGTTGCCACCGAGCGAATCCTAAAGAATGTGTCCGACGTCGTCTCTCACGTGGTACTATTCTTGGTGTGTACTTGAAGCAGCCGCGTGAGCTTCGAGTCCCGATACGGAATGTGTTTTCCTTTCCCGTCCACCAATGCTACATCCCATTGTCAATATGAAAAAAGTGGTAAAAAGACAATTTGTACCAGAGATGACATTGCCAAGCGCAGAGAGACTCAGGTTGATCTTGCAGCCTTCCTACATCGATTGTCGAACCAAGCAGAGTAATATGAGAGTACCTTGAGCCGCGCGCCCGTCGCACCCGTCTTGCTCTGCCGCTCACTCCCCGCCAAGTCGACAAGGTTGAGCTAGATAGTACGTAGAACGCGCGTTCAGTGTGATGCTAGCAAAATCCGACGACGCACCTTGCCCGCTCGAAAGTGCTCCTCGCCGTTGACTTTCTCACTGATTTCAACCACAATGGTAAAGATCGAGTGCGACCGTGACGACCCTTCGTTCATGAGCGTCGCGGCAATCGTGCGGTTCTTGAACCCACGGGCCATGACACTAGTCATTACGTCCGATACGATGACAACTTGTACACGAATACATACCGGTTGATGCTGGCCACGTCGCTCACGACGACTTCGGTGAGGTCTTTGACGTACACGCCCCCGTCGGCGCTTTCTTTGAGCTCTAGCTTTTGCTTCGAGTCGTCGCCGAGGAGGTCGCGAATGTCTTCGTTGTAGATCTCGAGGTACGTGGCGCGGACCATGTACTCGCGCTCCGTGTCGGCGCCAATGTTTTCGAAGACATGGTCAAATGCGTGGGGAATGACGCCGCGGAGTTCGGGGGGACTGTCCTTGCCTTGCATCGTGTGCGTCTTGCCGCAGCCCGTTTGGCCGTACGCAAAGATGGTGCCGTTGTAGCCCTCAAAGACACTTTCAACCAGCGGGTAGCCCGACTCGTCATAGAATTGTCGCTAGTTCAACGACGATGGTCCACAGGTTCAACAGTAAAGGTGTGTGTACCTGCACCGTGTGCTCGTCGTAGACCGAGTCGAACGTAAAACTCTTTAACGCGTCGCTGTCGGGGCACTTGATGGAAACGACCGCGGCGGCCACGTCCATGGTCACTATCGACTGCCGGCCCTCGGTGATCTCCTTGCCAAAGAGCGGTCGGCAGCGCACGACGACTTTGACTGTTTCTCTTCCCTTGGCATTGGCCGAATTGACGATCGCGGCCGCCGACGCGAGGTCCATGGGCAGAGGTACGGACAAAGGATATATTGGGCTGCGCCGGTTACACGCTCTAGTTACAAACGTGGCACATGCCGAATTGAACATACATTTCTTTCTATATCTATTCGAGTACCCCAATGCGAGTTCCCGGTACATGGTACATGCTCGTATGGTCCTTGGAGGCACCTACCGTTACCGCCATAATGGAGATGGAACACGTTAAAGACAAATGCGCAATCACGTTTACCGAGTGCTCGTTGGCGACGCGGCTAGGCTCGGCGTGTGTCGACCACAATAGATAGTACCCCAGACCAAGGGACATAAATGTATTTATGTCCCTTGCCTACACGCACCACCGAGTTCTCATGCTACGCATGTGTTGGTTTCGATAAAGCTGCTACGCTGTGGACGAGTTCACGAGGTTGGATAGTTACTTCTGGCGCATGCCACCAATAAATATTCAAGCGGATAGAACAACGCTTCGGTGCCTCGAACGCCACATCAGGAGTACCCCTGCGCCACATAGCATTCCATACTCTCGAAATCCATGTCTACGAAGGTGGCAAGTTTTCTGCGATCTTTTTCAGAAGTCTGAAATGCCTTCGCGGTCGACTTTCTTGGATAGGATTGGCCAAAATGATAAAAACATGACCAATGAAACGACATCTCCGTAGATGGCATATGCCGAATGTAACGCAGGGCCGGTCACACATGCCCTTCTCTCTATTTTCGGCATCTCTTATTTTCGGCAAGATGTTGAGAAATAGCCAATCATGACGCAATACGCTTCATGCTGATCTGCTGCTCATCATTTTCCAACAGCGACCATGAACCTCGCCAATCGAGGTATGTACCGATCTCGTCGGTCGCTGGGATCGAAGCGTGTCCTAGTTGCCATCGTCACGGGCGCCGGCAACGGACTCGGCAAGGCGTACGCGCTCCAACTGAGCAAGCTCGGCGCCAAAGTCGTTGTCAACGACACGGGTGGCAACCGCCACGGTGTCGGTGTCGCCCATAGCGCTGCGGACGCGGTCGTCGATGAGATTCGCTCGCTGCACGGCAAGGACGCAGCGGTTGCCAGCTATAGCTCGGTCGAGGACGGCGGCAGCATCGTGCAGACAGCCCTGGACACCTGTACGTTGCCGCCTCTTCTTGTGCATTTATATGTTCATGCGTCATCGGGCACTAGATGGTCAACTCGATATTCTTGTCAACAATGCAGGTACAATCACACATCCAAAATGACGAGGCGACCGCCAAGACAGGCATCTTGCGCGACGTGACGCTCAAGAACATGACGGACGAGGATTGGCACTCGGTGCTCAACGTGCATCTCAACGGCACGATGAGGTACTATCTGTCTCGCTCGCCGATCATCGATTCCAATCGGTTGAATCCTTTTGAATAGCGTCACAAAGGCAGCTTGGCCGATTCTGCGGGCGCAACAGTACGGGCGCATCATCAACGTCTCGTCGGCGTCGGGCCTGTACGGCAACGTCGGCCAGGCCAACTATGGCGCGGCCAAGATGGGCATTGCAGGTCTCAGCTTCACCGCTGCCAAAGAAGGTCGCCGCAACAACATCAAGGTCAACGTCATTGCGCCCTTGGCCATGTCCCGCATGACGGAGACGATTCCGTCGTCGCCGTCCGTGCTCGCGCGCCTCCAGACACAGTACGTCGCGCCCCTCGTGGGCTACCTCGCCCATGAAGACTGCGCGGTGAGCGGGCACGTGTACGAAGTCGGCGCCGGCTGGGTCTCGCGCGTGCGCTGGCAGCGCTCACGCGGCGTCGTCTTCCCCAAGGACGGCATGACCATCGACGCCATCGCCGCCAACCTCGACGCGATCGAGGTGCGTGCTATCTCGCAAACGATAATGGCTCCGAGACACTTGTAGGCGTTCGAGGACGACCAAGTCACGTATCCGACGAGTCTCATGGACTCGATCCATGCGTGCGAAGATGCGCTCGCCACCGACAAGAGCACGTAAAGAATGAGGAGCGATGAATATTACAACCGCCCTTATATCGTCTCACTTTTGGAGCTTGGAGCTCGGCACATCAAAGGGCTTGGACGCGGACTCGCCATTAAGGTACTGGAGCGAGTACACGGACTGCAGCGACTTGACCGAGCGGGCAGGGGTCGACGTGGCCGGTTGTAGCCGATCGTTGCTGTGGTCTCTGAAGAGGCTTTGGCTCTCGGCCTTGGGCAAGACGCTCGCGACCGAGGCTTCCTTGACAAGCGTGCGTTGCGTCGAGACGAACCGACGGGCTAGCATCAGACTACTACTGTACTGCTGCTGCTGATGGGCAAAGGTCAAAATCCCAACTGGCACCGGTGGCGTTCCGCCAGCAAGATACTGACCGCGCTATGATTGGTCGATTTCAGCCAATCAAAAGGATTTTATTTCCGAACTGCAACCAGCCCAACAAGCAACTTGAAGATCAGTCGGAAGCACCATGGCGTCCAAGTCGCGGGGCGTGGTCCAGCCGTCGACGCATAGCATTACGTCGATTGATGCCCTATTTGCGCTCTATCGATACGAGGGCTTATGGGTCTCAAATGTGTCCTAGAACTTCGAAAAGGTACCAAGCTACCGGCGGCCCCCAGTGCCCCTTGTTGCCTGCGAACGGGCTTCTCCGACGGGCAAGATTCCATGCTCAGCAGTGATCGACAACCTTTTTCTTGGATCCCACCCACCACGTGGCACCCGATGCATCCAATCTGGTCCATGGCAAGTTGCACTCTCGACGGTCCCAAAAGGCTTTGGCTAGCTTTGGCATCATGAGAAACTGGTCTTTAGATTGATAGTAAATGATGGCTACTTTGTTTCGATTACCTTGGCGACAGGACTCACGGCTTGTTTGCGTCGGTTCCGATGCCACTTGCGTCCGTAGCAGCAGCAGCCGCACACAACCAGAAGAACCCCAAGCGAGACACCGGCAAAGATACCGCCATAGTACAAAAGCGCCTTGTTGATAAATGCCGCCTCCGCCGAGGCCTGGCCGGCGTTGAGGTAGTCGGTCATGTTGTCGCACTTGGTCACGGCGATGCCTGCGAGTTCGCAGCTGCACGTGATCTGAATCACTTGGTACTGTGCTTGGAGCCACGTGTCGTTCTTGCAAAGACTCAGTGGCACGGCGCTCGTGCAGCGACCGTCGCCGTCGACAAGGTTCTTGGCACCGGCGCCGTAAATCGCCCAGTACGGCTTCTCGTAGAGCATGTACGGCTCGATCCACGCATCGCTGCGCTGGGCGTACGTCTCGAGGGCGTTCGCGGCTTGCAAAAATGAGAGGTTGGCAAAGTCGACGGTAAAGTTGGTGAGCTCGCCAAACTTGCTGATGCGAAAGTCGTGCGCGAGCTTGGTGCCTTGAATGTCGTTTTCGACGATGACGCGCGTCGTGTCGACAATCTGCTGGCCAATCTCGGCGTCCGACGTCATGCTGCGGACGTTCCAGTTGCTCGACCCGATCGAGACAAGGACATCGTCCACCAAAAGGACTTTGGAGTGGACGTAGATGCCAAGGCTCGGCTTTGGAATGTAAATCTGAACCTTGTTGGGGAACTTTTGAAGCAGCGGGTTGATCATGTCGTACTGGTACTTGGCATATCCCGACGCCCGCTCCAGTTTGCCAGGCGTGACCGTAAAGACAACGAGGCGCTGGAGCGTCGGCAGGATCGCGAGCAGCTCGTGGAAGAGGTCCGGCATGTAGACAAAGTACTGGTCCTCGATGTAAATGTAGTTCTTCGCGTTGCGAATGGCCTTGATGCGGCCCGCGAGGATCGACGTCTCGCCGTGCGGTGCAAACGACGCGTACCCATGGTAGTTGCAGCTAAACGTCCGAAGTATTTGGACGTCGTGGGGGCCCGCCGACGTGTTGATCGCGAGCGACGAAAGCAGTGCTGCCGACGAAAAGAAATTTTGCGGCACGTTCCACGACGCTTGCAATGGCATCGGTGGCGTCACGAACGGCGGTCCAAGCGCCGGACCGGGCGGTTTAGGGTCGTTCCAACGGTCCAAGAAATTGTGCAAAATATCCACGGCCGCGGGCCCTAAGACGCGCGAATGAACGTCGATCCAGCCGTTGTTGTTGGTACGGATGGCGGCTGCGTTGCGCAGCGCCGACTCGTTGTGGTACTTGGTGTCCCACCGATCAAAGGCCTGGTCCATCCCGCCGGCGTAGGCCCAGAGCTGGTTGTCTATGCTCAGAACCAAACTCTTTTGGTGCAGCGAGCCAGTGATCGACGTGACGCGGTCGTCGGTCATGAGCTGCACGCGCGCGCCATGTGAGGGCGTGAGCGAGTTCATCCACGCATGCATGTCCGTGACGCGATCGAGTTCTGGAAGATTTGACCAAACGAGCCCGTGCGCGCTGAGGCCATTGGTTGTGATCGCTTTGCCCCACGTCGACTTGAACGTAATGGCGGGGTCAATGTGTGGCAGATACGGAATGTCGCCAAGCGTCCAGCTTGTAAAGTACGCAGCGTGGGCCGTCAATAGATCGTGATGAATCGCCGCAAACGTGCTGCTCGTGTCGGCAAAGATGTGCATGAAGTTGCCCGACGAGCTCGTGGCTAATGACGTTCGCGGGACGCCGCCGCGCGAGTTCGTAATTTCGTCGGCGGTGAGGAACCAGTCACTCGGGGCCAAAAGCGGTTGACGCGTCGGAATGTCCGAGCCGTCGGACGTTGAGACCGCGTTGGTCAGAAGGACGTCGCAGCCTTGGAAGAGTGTGTAGCTGCAGAGGTTGCACGGCTGGCAAATGCACCAGTTTGTAAAGATCTCGGTGAGCGACGTCGAGCGTGTACACGTGACGAACCCCGCGGCGCTCGCGGCGCAGAGCGTGAGCACAACGCCCCGCGACCGCATTTCAGTCGGTCGAAATCACGCAACTGACACAAATGACGGTTACCGACGCAAGTTCAAATCCGTTCTTGGCAGCGGGTTAGCGCCATTTTCGAAAAAAAGCCCAGGAAGCGCTGGCCGCAAAGTCAGTGCGTCTGGTTGCACGAGTACCGTGTGTTGCCGGACTGCCATCAAGGAGAAAACACGTAGTATTGTATGTACATTGCTTTTTGATTCGAGTTCTTACGACGGCCGTCAGGCAGTCAAGTGCATACACAGTCAAGTGCATATTTACGCATCAATTGTCGTCGACTCGATCGCTTCCTGCTCCATTTGCATGTACGCCGTCATAGCCGGGCAGTTGAAGACGGAAAAGTTGCTGCGCTGGCACTCGCACGTGACCTGGACAATGCGCGGCTGCGTCGCCAGCCACTCGAGGTTCTGGCACTCGTCGATCTCGCCGTCTTCGAGCTTGGAGCAGCGACCGTCGCCGTCCACGAGGTGCTTCATGACGTCGCGGAAGATGACCCAAAACGGCTTCTCGTACAAGTTGTAGTGCTTGATCCAGCCATTGGGCGACTTGGCGTACGCGTCCAAGGCGTCAGCGGCGGCCAAAAACGACTTCTTCGACAAGTCGACCGAGAAGCCCGTGAGCTCGCTAAACTTGCTGATGCGGAAATCCCGCGCGAGCTTGGCGACCGTGATCGCGCCATCTTGAACGAGCGTCGTGTCGACGACGTTGGCGCCAATTTCGCCGTCCGACGTCATGCTGCGGACGTTCCAGTTGCTCGAGCCGAGCGAGACAAAGACGTCATCGACGAGGAGGACCTTGGAGTGGACGTAAATGTTGCGGCGCGGGTCGGGAATATAGATCTGGACCTTCTTCGGGAACTTCTCAAGGAGCGGGGCCATCATGTCGTATTGGTACTTTTGGTAGCCGACAGCGGCTTCCTGGCCTTGGGGCGTGACCGTAAAGACAATGAGGCGCTGGATGCGCGGAAGGATCTTGAGGAGCTCGTCAAGGAGCTCGGGCACGTGGATAAAGTACTGGTCCTCAATGTAAATGTAGTTCTTCGCGTTCCGGATGGCCTTGATGCGGCCCGCAAAGATGGACGTCTCGCCCTTTGGTGCAAACGACTTGTAGCCCTTGTACTTGCAGCTGTACGTGCGGAGGATCTGGACATCGTGCGTGCCGGCGGACGACATCGACGTCGACAGCGC